TACTGAGATCATGAAGATGTTCAATGGCGATCACGGCATGATGTTGCTTTGTGGCGGAAGTGACTTGTGAATAACCTGCTGGAAAGACAACAGTCTTGCGTCTTGTCCAAAATGGTTTTGCACTCTTTGCAACAGGAGGCTGGCAACGTCTCTTGAATGTGAATGACTTGATCGAAACCTACTTCTGGATACTCCGATTGCTCGAGGGGTTTGGTGTAATCTCTTGGGCATTTTTTCTTTTTTGACAGGGGCTGGCTGTCTCGCCGGGGCAGGAGTACGCCGTGGCGACAACAATGGACAACGCGGTGACCCTCGTGGGATTGGCAGGTCAGGTGCTTTTCGAATGGCAAATTCTATTGTAATCAATTTTGCGAACTTGTCGGCACACGTCTCCCGCATTATTGGCTTGTTTCCCGCGGTGTGTTTTCGCTTGTCTCTTATGAGTCGCGGGAGGGAGTGTTGGGCAGGCAAACTTGTTTCGTATCAGCATTGTTTAACAGTCACACTCGCCCGAACAATCGAAGGATGCACATACAACCCAACCCATAACGGCGCGTGTGTTAACCCACGCCGTGTGCGTGTGTTTTACGGCCTTCACGAACGCCCTAATAACCCGTCCCTAAAGCCCTCGACGCCTGTCCTTTTTGTCTCTTTGTCTTGTAATCAATGCCGTCGCCGCGCAGGGTGGGACGTCCTGTGGCAAATGCGGGGGCTGGCTCTCTCCCGCCCGCCCCCCATGCGACTAACCTCCCCGGCGGAGAGGGCTGAGAGGGATAGGCAGGCCCTCAAGCTCACCATGGGGCCCAGGCGCGGGATCGTGGCGTGTAACGGGCGGGCGGGGCACGTCCAGGTGGGGCTCGTCTTGTCTTGTCTGGTGTCGTTGTCGCCATGCATACCTATATGTGTGTTTGTTGTTGTGTTGGCATCGTGGGCATTGTCATGACCTGTGCAAGTGTGCGGTTTGTCTCTTCGTTAACCACCGCCTCTGTACCCCCTGGCTCTCTCTGCTGTAAATACGAATTCATTCTACATCGTTGTCACCGACTTGCCCATGCGTGAGTAGCGCCTTTTTTACTCTCGTGTCCCACTACCTCTTTGTCTTCCGGCAATCTCTGGTTGGAGTAAACGGCGCTAGTGCTGTGAGCGCTGATTTGAAGTGAAGACAAAAAAAAAAAATCTCTGACGCAGCTTTACTCTCGTGTGATCCCACTACCTCTTTGTCTTCCGGCAATCTCTGCCGCTGCTGCCGCTGCTGCCGCTACAGTGATCTAGTTCTAAACTTGAGCACCGATTGGCTGGAGGCCAGTAGCGCCTTTTCACTCATGTCCCGCTGTCTCAACGTCTACTGTTGGTCTCCACTGCTGCTGTTGTCTAGTTTTACGACGTGGGCACCGATTGCCCGGAGGCCAATAGCGCCTTTTCACTCATTACCCACCACCCCTCCCTCTGGTCTATTGGTCCCCCCTGCGGCTGCTGTTGTCTAGTTCTACAACGTGGGCACCAACTGCCTCGAGGCTAGTGCGGAGGTTGTGAGGTTCAACAGGGACACCTCGGCCAAGAGCTGGCAATCGGACCACCTGTCCAAGATGCAACGCGGCAGGAGTGATGGTGGTACCGGTGGTGCCGGTGGTGCCGGTTCTGTTGGGCCAGTGGTGGAGCACGTCGCCTTCTCTTCCGACGGCAAGGTGACTATTATTATTATTATTATTATTATTGTTGTTGTTGTTGTTGTTGTTGTTGTTGTTATCGTTGTTTTCACATAAAAAACCGTTACGTTCTCTCCGACCAGTACCTTCTTCTGTCCGTACTAGTCTAACGCTTGACGGGGTCGATTCCCGTGGTCACAGGCTAACTTACCCAAGAAAAGGTATACGAAAATAAACTTGACCCGAAGAAGTATGTTTTTTTTTCACGTTTATATCAGCGTGCACTGCCACGTTGGGGCTACTAGATAGAACAAACTCACGTCAAATCTGGGCATCGCAAGGAGGCAGTACTTGGAAGCTTGAGAGCGTCGCGTCATATGTAGCGGAAATCGTGTCTTCGCCGAAATGACGTCATTGAACCTTCGGGTGCTTTCTTTGTTTTCGTTCTTGCCTTCATTCGGTGACCGCGCGATCTCACGCGGTCCGAAGAAGGCGCTCGGAGAACTTGAGATCATCGTATACAAACGGATGTAAAGTCTTGTTTCATTGCTTTTGTCTCGAAATAATGAGTGCGTTCTAGCCCCCCGCCACACGTAAGAGTTTCGTTATTCTTGCTCTGTTTCGAAACGAATGAGTAGGTTCTTTCGACCCCCCACCCTACCCTCACGAAACTTTAACTTTTACCCCCCCTCCCTTCTTTGTTTGACCGCCCCCTCTTTCAGAGAATGGTGGCGGTAGCCTCCCGGGCCCAGGCGGCTTCCCCTTCGCTATCCTTCTGGAAACACGCCAGGGGGTCAGACCCGTTCGGGTCCAACAACGGCGGCTACACGGGCAGCTACGCGGGAGCGCGCAACTCCGGCGGCGGTGGAGGCGGCGGGCGGGGAGGGGGGACCTCGGGGCACTGGGCTGCGGACACTAGCGTCGAGAACCCTCACGGGGCGGGCAACGCGGTGCGTCTATAGCCCAGGAATCCCTCGCAGCATCGACCGCCGCGCTAACCATCCTGTGTGTACGTGCGTGCGTTTTCTTGCTACGAAATGCGTAGAGGGCCTGCCGAATGTGAAACGCTTGGTTAGTCGGCATGCCCAGTCAACCCATGGCATATCTGGTTCGTCTTGTCCCCCCCCGCCGCATCCACGCTCATCCTTGTAAACCGTTGCCGGGGCCGACGAAAACCCGGCATATCGCTCCGTCCCGGCATTGTAGGGATGCGAGGTCTATGGTCTAACGACTGCAAGGCATGTACACCCCACCCCCCCCCCGCCTCATTTTTTTTTTTGTCAGGTGGCCGCCCTGGAGTATCACCCCCGGGAGAACGTTGTCGTCACAGCCGGCAAGCAGGACGGCGGTTTCAACTTGTGGGGGCTAAGGAGAACAGACAACGCCTTGGAATCGCTAGCCGCCGCTAAGGGCGGCGGCGGCGTTCGGGCTGAGGGAGAGGGGGAGCAGGCGGTGCACTGGGCTTGCTCGCTGTCGGTGAGAACGGGGTGTTGTAGGGCGTACCGGGCTATAATAATAAGAGGCTTCAGGGTGTTGGTAATAGCGCGGTGGTTGTACTGGTAATGTTTTGTCTTCTGGTGAGATATAAACATATCTATTCTTCCTCGAGATTTGCGAGGGGGGGGGTTCCGTGGGATCACGTGGTAGGTTTTGTGTGGCGTCCCCCTCCTGTTGATGTTTAGGAGCGGAGTTTGGTTGGAGGGAGAGGAGCAGGAGATGGGTGTTGGGCCACTGTTAGATTTCCTGGGTAGCGGTCGGTGGCGAAGTTTGTTGCCGCGGGATGGGATTGCTGGCCGTTGTTGTCGTTGTTGTTGTTGTTATGTTTCTTTGTTCTGTACGAACAAGAGCACCACGACAAGGAAAACAGAAAGTTTTTTCGTTTCTGTATGAACACGTGTTGCCTTTCAAACAAGCAAGCAAAGCACGCACGATACAGCAACCAACACCGCCGTCCCACCTTCGCACGCACACAAAAACCGAAACGTTTTTCTTCTCCGCGCTTGAGAATAAATCCACACACACGGCCTGGAGCACGCACACAAAACCAGAACGTTTTTTCCTCCCTCCGCGCTCGAGAATACATCTACACACACGGCCTGGAAATCCTTCCCCGCTCCATGATCTGGTGCAGGTGCGGTATAAGGAGGGCTTGGCGGCAACTGGGGTCTCCTTCAGCTCCGACGGCTCTGTCCTTGCCGTGGCCTACTCTCCCACCGAGGAGGTCAACGGGGACGGCAACAACGGCACACGCAAGGGGCAGCGGCGGCGGAAGCACAGCACCGGCCAAGGTGTGCGAATGTTGACACCCCCCCCCCCCGGTCCGATCGCTTCTGGTTAAGGATAGCCTGGGTCCGGCGAAAACCCGGCATATTGTTCCGTCCCGGATGCGAGGTCAATGGTCTAACGATTACGGCGTGCTTTTACACATGACTACCTCCCCCCCCCCCGGTGCTGTCTGCGGTACCTACGCACATGCTGTTGGGATTGAAGCCGTTTGTCTCCGAGGCATTTGTTGGTGTGAGCTACACGTGCTATGTCTCGCCCGTCACCCTGGTCCGTGAGCAACTCTCCTTGGTGCAAGAGAGACCGAGTTGGTGCACGCTGAGTGTAGGGTTTAGGCTGCTGTCGTGTGAGGTCTGGTTATGCTTTTCCGTGCAGATAATTCATTTAATAGTATTCGCACACACCTCGCGGTTTACTCTTCCGGTGGTAACCTTACGCTGGCTAGTTTCCCTCTCATTGGAGGCATGTTTCCTCGCTCATCAAACGCCTTCCTTCCCTCCCTTGCACCCACGCCAGGCGTTATCACGCTGTGGTCGCTAGAGACGGCGACTCTGCTGTCGACGCTGCTGCCCCCTAGAACACAACACGTTCGTTTTGCTTCGCCCAAAACTGGCCCGCTCAAGTGCCTCGGTTTCATCGCGGCGAGCGGGAGGATTATGGCGGCGGGGAGCGGGTACGCGGCCGTGTGGGACATGGTCTCTCCGGAGGTAAGAGAAGGAGGAGAGAGAGAGAGAGACAAGGGGGGGCGGGGGGGGGGGTGGG